GCCTGTCATTTAGACACCGTCTCCATGGAAACCACATCGGCTCTCTGCAGGTGTTTGTCAGGAAGGGGCGGAGTCACAACCCGTCCATCTGGACCAGGACTGGAGGACACGGCTGGAGACACGCCCAGATCACACTTTGGGGGCAGGGCCTTCAAAATAACTGCATTTTTTTAAAAAACACACCTTACTTTTTTTTCCTTTTTTTTTGCAATTTCTGTGATCAAAATGCAATCAAATGATTTTGTGGTGATAATTTCCAGATATTTGCGCAGAATTTGCAATGTTTCTTTTATAATTAGGATCCCACATTGACCATATTATTTATGTAATTAGATGTACAGTAGTCATCATACATAAAGCTTGTTTATTTTTGCCTCATGAAATTCTGACAACTTCAAACAAGATTTATTTTTGTTATTAAAAATAAGAAGCATAAGATGCAAATTATTCCTTGAACACTGAACTTTAATTGCTAAACTTTTCAGTCCAGCCAAGATTTCATAAATCTATTTTTATTTGTTTTTTTGGAATTTTTGTGATAAAAATGACTGATTTTGTGGCTGTAATTTCCAAAAGTATTTTTAATTCTTAATTATGAAACCACATTTACCATATTATGTATGACATTGGATGTACAGCAGTCATAAATGACAGAAAAAAACAATATGCATAAAGCTTGTTAATTTTTGTCTCACCAAAATCTGATTTAGTATTCAGGTATAAACTACTACAGAAATTAAATAAACAAATATAAAATAAAACACTGAATGAATAAAACAGTGCATTAATCTGTGTTTCTTTTTGCGATTATTTCACGATTAAATGATGCATTATGCAGGATCACAAAAAATGCAGCATTTTGTTGGTTTTGCGTATGTTCTGTGATCTGAAATGTGAAAAACTGGAGGGACTGACTTCTGATTATGTGGTTTATTGCATCAAAACCAAAGCTCTGTAAATAGCATTCACAGTCCAGACTGATATCTGTATCCATCCTGCTGTTTGTGATTATTGAGCATGTGCGTGTTGATTCTAGTGTGATTGATGCTGTTCTGTATCAGATTGTGCTGAAGGCAGAGAGACGGCGAGGGAAACATGGAGAAATCGCTGTGGATGATTTTAGTCTGAGACGAGGAGCTTGCAGTGATGAACACCACAGGACAGAGTGACACACACACACACACACACTGGACAGAGTGACACACACACACACACACACACACACACACACACACACTGGACAGAGTGACACACACACACAATGGGCAGGTCAACATTCATATTCATGAGGACATCTTTATTTACCTTTTTTATGACCATGAACCTGCAGATTTGTGCAGAATTGGACCAAATTGCCTTGCATATTTATTAAATGTTATTATTGGTTATTCTGCTTTCGGATAACAATAACAGTGTTGGTACTATCAGCTGTTTAATGCATGAAATTTGACAGATTTCCTCACAAAACCAGCGCAGAATGTGAAGCACATGTGATACCTGATCAGTATCTTCATCCACAAACACAAATACTCTGATTTTATTGTGTTATAGACGCCTTACAGGCTGAGTCTCGTGTGAAAATATGTCCGGGTCACATCATGTGATAATGTTATGATTATAGCATGATTTCTGTTAATATTTTTATTTAATAAATGCATCCAGACTTTTAAGTTACGTTTTTCAGTATTTCCATTAATGGTCATTCTTATTTAAAAATGACAATAATATTGTGATTTATTTTTTTTTTAATCAGCATAAATTAAAGGCAGCACAAATGCTTTAACTAATAATATTTCTGTTAAATTATAACAATATTATTTTTCACATTTAAGGGTGGGACTTGTGTTTAATTGTCATTAAAATAATGCAACAAAATGACACACAAATTCTTTAATTTTAAGGAATGTTCCAAAAGACTTTTTGAAGAAATTAATATTTGAGGTGAAATGTGAGCTGGATTATGTGAGATTCACTCACAACAATATTTAGTTCGACGCACATTAATGTCTTTATATTTTTATACATCATTCAGTCATAATTAGTGTTCAGTTCTTTCTATCCCTTACTGTACTCATGAAATGTTTTTCTAACTTCTTTGTAAATATGTTCAGTTTGTATCCGAATGTGTATTTAAAGCTCTAAATGCTTCATAAACTCAAATCAAAACCTCTGTTGTTGATCATTGTGATTGATCTGATTGCAGCAGATTTAATGAATATTTAATTTTCCAAGGTGGTTATACATTTAGGTTATGAAAACATTGTGGGAACATTGTTTTGAAATGTTTCTAAAACGTTGAACTGTCCAGTTTTCTTGTCATGATGATAATGTTATTTAAAGGTTACAAATATGTTCCTTAAACGTTCTACTAATTAGATTTTTACCCAAAACATATCGTAAGGTTTATTAAGAATGTTAAACTGTCCAGTTTTTTGTGTGTCGTAATTAGAACGTTATTTAAAGATTACTAAAAATGTTCCTTAGAATGTTTAAGTACAAATAACATCACGAGGGTGTTCTGAGAATGTTGTTTTCATCGTCATGAGAATGTATCAATTGTTAATAACGGTATAACAACGTTCCATAAACATTACTTTAAGAATGTTTTGTCCTGACATTTATATAGCCTGACTTTTAAAATACATTAGTGAAAGTAGCGAGAACGCTCCCTGTTTTCTGGGATTGGAAATAATCTGATCAACAGAAAAAACAGCAAGTAAACACTTATCTATCGGATTCAAGGGTACCTTGTGCTAAGATGCGAACAAGTTTATTTACGTATTACGAACTGGTCAGATGCTAACAAAAAAGGCTCTTCTTTTAGATATGACAACAAACTACTCCACAGCAGGCAGCTCGGTGACATTATAGCAGCGACTTTCTTCAGTTCTGAACGCGGCAGCTGACGCACTGCGCATGCGCTGAAGTTTTGTTCGGAATACATAAATACACAAATACACATGTAAACGAATGTGTGACTCAAATTGCAACAGGGTTGCCAGGTGTTCACAACAAAACCCGGCCAATTGCTACTCAAAACTAACCCAATCGCATTTTGAGGTGGGTCCCCTGGGTTCTGGGGGATAAAATAGATGTTTTTTGGAGGGGTTCCCCTGGTAAGACTTGCATTTTAGGTGCTAAATATCACGTTATTGGCGGCACTTCAAACCACTGACATGAAAAACAACCCAGTGGCAACAGTGTTAAAGTAGCCCAATTCCGCGGAAAAACCGCAGACTCGGCAACACTGGATTGTAAAGTTTAGGGCTCATGTAAACTTTAATATGAACTTTCAGGATTCATTCGAAATTGACAAAAATTAGTGCATATTAAATACCTAGTGTGCAGTGTTGCCAAGTCCACGGTTTTCCTGCAGAATTGGGCTACTTTAAAGGAACACTCCACTATTTTTGAAAATAGGCTCATTTTCCAACTCCCCTAGAGTTAAACAGTTGAGTTTTACCGTTTTCGAATCCATTCAGCCGATCTCCGGGTCTGGCGGTAGCACTTTTAGCTGTAGCTTAGCATAGATCATTGAATCTGATTAGACCGTTAGCATCTCGCTCAAAAATGACCAAAGAGTTTCTATATTTTTCCTATTTAAAACTCGACTCTTCTGTTGGAATGAGATTATAGTTCCTAGCCATATCGGCCTAGAAAATCACAACTTTTCATTTTCATTTCACAAACAACAGAAGAGTCAAATTTTAAATAGGAAAAATATAGAAACTCTTTGGTCATTTTTGAGCGAGATGCTAACGGTCTAATCAGATTCAATGATCTATGCTAAGCTACAGCTAAAAGTGCTACCGCCAGACCCGGAGATCGGCTGAATGGATTCGAAAACGGTAAAACTCAACTGTTTAACTCTAGGGGAGTTGGAAAATGAGCCTATTTTCAAAAATAGTGGAGTGTTCCTTTAAGGGCCATTCACATGTCACGCCTAAAAACGCGTCGAAAACGCTAGCCACGCCGCTTTCTCCTTCTTTCCAAAGCGCTCGGTAGCTTGCGCTCCCGATGCGTCTGCTGTTGCTAAGCAACCATGACCTGCGCTCTCCATGACCACACGTAAGTTTCAGCAAAGGATAAATGGATTTCCAGCACTGAAAATCGCTTGCAGTAGCTCTGCTACTAAATTTACACTAAATTTATTTAAAAATGGCTATCTCTGTACAGCTATGATCAGATGTTCCTCCATCTTGGCTAAGCTTTCAACGTTGTTACAGAAAGGGTGAAGGTGATTGGTTGGTTCTTGTCACATGACCTGCGGTGCGGTGCGCTTGCGGCATTCTGAAAAGTTGAGATGTTTTTATCTCGCTGTGGTGCGGACGCGTCTGGAAAAAACTCTCTAATTGCGCGCGCTTGCTGCGCGTCTACATTTGAAATAACGAACTTGAGTACGCAAAAGACGTGATATGTGAAGGGCCCCTAACAATGTTGCCGCGGCTTGATTTTCATGTCCGCAGGTTGAAGCGACTCCAATAACGTGATATTTATCCCCTAAAATGGGGAACCCTGCCAAAAAACATGTATTTTATCCCCCAGAATGCAATTTTTATCGAGGGACCCCCCGTGAAATGCGATTGGGCTAGTTATGGGCTAGTTTTGAGTAGCAAT